GGAAATACTAATTCGTTCAAGGATAAAAGTGGCAAACAAATGTTGCTTTGATAAACGTCGATACCTTAAAATCTATGAATAGACCCCTGGAGGTGGTCGCTGGGAAGCTCGTATTCGTCCCATCCTTTCCATTAACCAGTACCCCGTAGTTCCGCGGGGTGGACTAATAATTATAATTGGGGTTGTGTGCATACTTATACAGCCTGTAGTTGGTCAGCCATTTCAAAGTTGCGACGAGTCACTCGCTGTAGATGCGCAATTTAGCCAGTGCGGTGCAACCGCTAGCCTGGGGTCTGTAACGTGTATCACGCAGTAGTGATACACGACCGCACGCCGGTATGATCTCACCCAGATCGAAACGGGCAGGGGTGAGGATTGAACCCAGGATGGCTGGGTTCTGCAGCGCGAGCTTTCGCTCCACGTGCACTGAGCTGGTGTGCGCTAACCCACTCGGCCACCGATCCTTTTTCTTCTTTATTGCCGGCCACCGATCCCCCTGCGCGAGGTGGAGTGGTAAGGGGAGTATTCACTGGTGGCCATAGCTGTGTGCGCGAACGCTGAGCGTGTGCTGATGGCGAGCTTTCACAGTTCTTTTACAACGTGCATTCCGCACCATCAAGAGTGGTGGTCTTAGCAGCCTATTGATGTGAGCTCGTTCGGACCATGCGCTCTGAACAGCACCCACAAATATGGCGTCCAGTGAATACTCCCTATAGAAGCTTCAACTTCCCACCCCCTCTTCTTTTTTTTACGAAATCTCTATGGTTCATATACCTTTCACTGTGGTTTTTGTCGTGACTCGAAAGTACAATGACCCGTTGTATTGAATGAACCTTGATGAGATAAGCGGTAAGATCCAATTTGCCAAGAATTCAAAATATGGAAAAAAAAAAGAACAACAAAAACTGAGATGGTATTTTTTTAGGACTATTGACTTTGTGCACTGACCAAGCATGTTAAATACCGTTTTTTGTGCTTTTTTTGCATTGGTACACTGAAACTTTTTAGTTTATCTGATAAATCTGAATAGGCCATATGCAAGATTCTTGCCAGCTGTAATATTTTTTTTTTATTGGTGAAGAGATTAAAAACATGAAGATGATATCATCATGATGTCATTAGGAGCCGCCATATAGGGGGGAAGGGGGGGTTCGCATCTTTCAGTTGTGATTGAGGCGCATTTGCATTTGACTCGGTTTTCGTGATATTAAGACAATTAATTTGTGCACTCATCGCGCTGCTGTTTAATTTCGGTCCAACGAAGAGAAGAAAGGAGGCCGCGAAATTCTGGAAAAGGAATTGTCAGCAACCAGGTCGCTAGACTCGTCACTCAACCATCGAACTGGGGCATCTAAGTCAGTGAACGGTCTTTATCGACGACAGCAATACTAATAGAAATCTTTATTGTCTCAGAAGAGCCGTGGTACTGCGGAAAGCCGACAGCCCGTACCATGGAGGCCCGTGATGCCACGTCTAGCGATGATTATTATGAGATATCTACAAGGGGACAGGGGCGGATCCAAGGGGGGGGGGGGGGGTGCGATTGACATTGTCTAGAAAGAAAAGCTAAGTCAAGTTTATTCGGTTAGGGAGTGATTCTAAGTAGTATTTAGTGAAAGTAGAAAAATCGTGTCATGGCCCTTTAAACATTGTAAAACATACTCCTGCGGAAAGGGAGCTAAGGCTGGTTAACATACAACACTGTTTTCTTAGCTACTCCTTGAAATGGTTGCAGTGTTTCGTACGAAACGTTGATGTGCCGGAGAATTCCGGTCGTATCTCAATGTAAGCGTAAGACCAAGGTTAAAAAAGCGCGAACTGAAACACGGACGAAATAACAAACAAGTACGACAAGGACGGGGAATAAGGAAATACCTTTTTATTAGATGGCATCATATAAGGGTGCCCATATGTTATCGGTTTATGGCTGTTTATCGGTATGGTGAACGACAGACTGGCTGAGTGAATGTTTCCTCAATAAAATCACTTGTAAGTAAATCCGCCTGTCCTCGCCATAAGGGTGTTTCTTATTTCGTCCGTGTTTCAGTTCACGCTTTGTAACCTATTAAATAAAATAAACCAACTAAACCCAACCAAAGTTTTATCGCGTAAGTAAGCTTGGTGACGCAAACAGGGCCACCAAGCTTACTTACGTCACCGATCCTGTGCGAATCGGTGACTTCAGTATAAACAAGCGCTATCCCCCGAAACAAACTGTTGAAAGTGTCTCTTGCCAAAAACGAGCTAACGTCATGGCGGTATAAGATGTTGAAAGGTAGCACTAAAGAGCGGAGAAGCACGCTATCATCGGCTTTCTTTTCCCCGCCCCAAAATTAAAAAAAAAAGAAAAAGATAAGGGACAATTACACACACCGTCTCGATACACGCACAGCTAGTGCTTGTTGCCGTCCGTTTTCTTTACCTTTTAATTCCCAGTTTCGGGTTTTCATAATAAAATTATTTCACCAACTTGTCTGCAACTTTTTTTTTTTTTTTTTTAACGTTGTTACATCGACAAGGGCTTATTCACAAGACCGCTTGGCGAGGGTCCCGGGATCCACGAACGGCGGTACCATGAGTGGGCCTTGTTTTGCAGGGGGTAATGACGGGCTCCTCTTATCTTTCGAATCTCGACAGGAATGAAGGATCGGCAGAGAGCATTTGATCCGCGGGCCGGCACGTACGCGTCTGGCTGGATGAAAGCTCGCCCTTCGCCGGTCAAAGCGGGTTTCCGGAAACATTGTTACGCTCAGTGGTCCGTTCACCCCCAAGCTGACAGCACTAGTGGAAGCTACGTGGTCGTTGGACCAGTCACACGTCTGTCTAACGCCACGTGATCATTCACGCCCAAAACATAGGCCCCTGTAAAGGGAGGGGTCTGGTGACGAAAGAGAGGTGGCTGATATGTCCGGCCAGCGCTAGCTTCCACAGCGCGATCACTTTAGGAGTGAACGGAGCATAGTGGCACTCCTTTCAGTTTTTCCTCGGACTGGGTAATTACTCCAGTGCTGCATTTTTGTTTGTTTGGGGTTTGTTGGATTAGGTTTGCAAAGGTCTAATTGCTACGTCCCTCGGGGAAAATTTCCACTTCGCGCACTGTTATGAAGGACAAGCGTTCAATGACATTCGGAGAGCTACATTGTGGCAAGAAGTCGCAAGTGCTAATTATGAACGGTGCGTGACAGATCCCAGAGGCTAATGAGATAAAATAACGGGCACAAAGAAGAAAGAATCTCAACTTCTGCGTCTGTGAATCCTTACAAATTCATTTACTTCTGGCTTTCTAACTTTATTGGAGGTGATCGCTTTTATGTAACTTGTCCGTGCCAAAAGTGTTCGGTACCTCAATGCCTATGATGTTTTTAAATATAATAAAGTAGTTAACGGTGAAATAGGATAGCTTAATCTCATACTTAGTTAATAAATGTTCCGTTTGTGAACGCCTTTTGCAACGTGATTCTCCTTTAACGGCGTACAATGACATTGGTCTACGAAATTATGTTTTGCTTGTTCGCATCATCAACGAGATCTCATCAAAACGGACACCCCAAACACCGGTGGTACCTGCGATAATGATCATTACATTTTTAAATCTTCGTCGCGTATCCAGAACCTTCTTGTTATCATAATCCCCGCTGGGCCAAGCTAGAAACAGCTTCGTAGCCCGTAGCTCGCATTTTGCACAACCAAGTACCCAGGAATACTCAGTTCGATTCCCGGCCTTCGTATTTATCTTAGTGACGTATGCTCTCGTAACGACTACAGGGTAAGACACTTTAAAAGCCCCCAGGTTAGCAGTCGTACTGCAGTGAACCCTTTATTTTTCTACAGCGGAGAGTCCAATCACTACATTTTGATTGTTAAAGAACATATGAACACCTCATCCCTCCATCATACCGGTATCGATGGATGTTACAGATAATATCAAGGTATGTTCGGCGAACATCCAACTCAAAGGATTAGCCAGCGTCCGTTGACGCTTTCCGGGGAGTATCGGGTCTGCCGGATATCTCGGCGCGCATACACGCTTATGCATATCGAGCCTTGTTTGTTTAGTCCTGGACGACCGGAAAGTATACGATCGACAACGATCTAGAACGCAAGACCCTTCGCAACGGATGACCTCGGCTACCCGAATAACCTCACGTTACACCTCCGTCAGACGAATTGCGGTCGTACGGACCTCGCTTTGAAGGCGCCCTAGGCGTCCCCCCGGCCGTCTGGGCGGGACAGGGCCCTTAGAGGTCCTTGGGAACGCGATAAGACTGCCTATAAGAGCCCGCCACTTCCGAGCACCGGGACACAACCGGGCAACCAGAGCAAACTAGAGACCATGTTCCGTAGCAGCCACGTCGCTCTGGCCCTCGGCCTCCTAGTGGTCCTCGCCGCCGTCTTGGTCATTCAGGCACAGCACGGTGGACGCGGCTTCGGCGGAGGCTTCGGCGGTGGACGTGGATTTGGAGGCGGCTTCGGCGGTGGACGTGGATTCGTAGGCGGCCATGGCGGAGGACGTGGATTTGGAGGAGGCTTCGGCGGAGGACGTGGATTCGGAGGAGGCTACGGCGGACGCGGCTTCGGTGGCGGACACTTCGGATAAGTGTCCAGACAAGAAAGTGGAAAAGAAACAAAAAGCCCACCAAACCGCGGCACGCCCAGCGGTGACCGGTCGGCAACCTCTAGCCAACTCACCCAGCATCGGTGTATACCTAAGAAATGAACTGAAATTCCAGAAAGGAAAAGTCACGGAATTTCATCCCAACCTAGTACGTTTCCTGTCTTGCCAAGCTCTTTCAGAAACGGAGGCAATCGCAGTATACGCGAGCTCGCCTAGACCTACAGATGAAATAAAAGAATATCCTGGGCTTGAAAAGACCGTGCTTGATTGCCTGTCGACGCGCTTGGAGTCTGCCCCCGCGGGCCTGCACCACATCTGGGCGGCCTTGAGGACGATTCTTCCCATCAAAACATGTGAGGAGGTACTGGCGCGTGCCACTCGAGATAGGGGTCACTCGTGCGCGACCGAAGACCCGGGGAAAACCAGCGAGGGCCTTTAAAAAGGTGGCCGGGTGACCTCCAATCACAGTGGGATCAGTGCATCCGTCTGGAAACGCAGGTAAGCGTACGACATAATCTCGCCACCGTGGACAGCAGGCGCGCCGCAAGGTTTCCATCGAAACCTTAGACCGTGTACTACCTGTTGCAGAACGAGCCGAGGTTCATCATGATCAGAAACATTCTCATCGCCGCGCTTCTCATCGCGGCCCTGTGCGGCTTGGCTGCTGCGCAGTTCGGCTACTACGGAGGCTACGGAGGCTACGGTCGCCGCTTCGGAGGCTACGGCTTCGGCCGCGGCTTCGGCTACGGTGGATACGGCCGAGGGTTCTATGGAGGCTACGGACGCGGTTTCTATGGTCGTGGCTTCTACGGCTAAATCAGGAGATACTATACGGTAAGTTTGCCTTAGTGTACAAAAAAAAAAAAAAAAAAAAAAACTGAAAAACCATTGACCGTTATGTTTTTAAAGCAAAAGTAACGCGTGCAACGCGTTATTTAAGAAGCGATCGTTTATACTATTTTTACGCAAAATTAGAGCGCAGCCGACGCGAAGATCTTATGAAGCCAATCAACAGCAGCAAAGTGCATAGTCACGGAGTTTATCATCTGTTTACTCTCACCGGCTAAAGAAATCAGGGACAGAAAATGCGACGTGATTCTGCGTTTTTTTTTTTTTTTGTACACAATTGGTTGAGGCGGTGATGGGAACGTACAAAGACGGACCAGCGCCGTGACGATGCACTTTTGGTATACCGTCGGCTGCGCTCGGGCTTTGAGTGAACCCTATAGTATGGACGACACTATAAACATCCTTTTTTCGGGGAAGGAAGAACACACCATTGATAATTTCCCTCACAACATTTTTTCACGAAATTTGACGTCACGGGTCCGGGCGTTACGTGACGGGATCATTTCAGGTGATATCACGAAGTGGCAAAATCAGCTGTTCGCCTCGGTGGCCGGTTCGAATCCCGGCCGAGGGGCCACGCAGTCTGACGGAGGACGTCACGTGACCTGAGCTCATGCGGCGTGGTCACGTGACGTGGCGTCACGGAGTCAAGTCGTTACCATAATCTGACGTGACGTCATAGCGTCGTGCGCACTTACCCGCTAAATTTAGCGGGGGAAAGTGGTCCCGCCACTTTTCGACAACACTTGGGCGTCTCGCGAGCTTCGAGCGTGCACGCGCAGCCCAAGCACGGTGGAAGGCGACAAGCGCGTGACGTCGTGTCGTCCCGACCTGGACTTGCCCCGTGGTGACGTCACGAGTCGTGGTCTCGGCTATCGTATCTCTAGTTCCATTGACATCTGAGATGATATATATGCGTAAAAAGGCACAGCACAAGCTCGAAATTATCGCATTCTTTAATTAAAAAACCAACACCGTCAAATTTGATAAACTGAAATTACTCTTATTTGCGTCGACAAAGACCGAGGGCCACTGCAAAGGGACGAAGAAAATCAAATGCCGCTTCGAAGGCCGTGCCCATCAGTGGCAAACACGAGCGTTCGGCGACGACATTGGTCTAGAGCGTCGGATAATGACGACATAGATTTCTAGAGGTAGGACTGGCTGAATAGTATAGCTGCACGCGACCATTTCTGGTCATTTCAAGCGCGTGATTCTCACTCAAATTTTTGCTTGGAACACCCGTAAATCGGTAGGGAGCTGACATCTTCATATTTGGGTGGTAATTCCAACAATTAGAAAGATCGCGCGTGGTTGTTGCATGCTCTTGTCTTTCGGTTCGCTATTGGTTCAGACCAAGGACGTCATCAGCCACAAAAAATGTGCTCAAAATTCTTAGCTACGTTTAGCTATTACGTTCAAAATACGTCAGATTTTTTCTGTGTTTAATTTTTAATGTGTTGCTAGAGTCCCACACACTAGTGCAAACAAACGCAATGCAAAAAAAAAAAAAAAGCCTTAGAAACGTTTTGCAGGGCTCCTTTAATGAACATCATAGTGAGCGTTTGGCCAATTGTAAACGCTTTGGCTCGCGCGGGTCTCCAACGGAGGGTTGTGTTAAAAAGCGTTCCACACTTCAAAGCGGTCGAAACTCGAAAGACCTGGTTGGTTCCGGCAACCGTGTAGAAGGCAGGGACAATGTTTCGCATTGCGGAGTTTGAGACCTGACTGCAGTCATCTCTCCCGCAGCTACCCACCCCGACCTGGTCCGAGCCTCCCTGGACACCGTGCAAGTAATAAACATTCAGTAATTGCTCCTCTCTCTTCGTCTCTTATGTTTGTTTTTTTTCGCCACTGGTCTGTCTCTTCGGCCTTCGGGCAGAGTTCGGTTGTCTGGCGGCGGACTTGCGTCGTGCACGTATGCCAGGCGGGTCGCACACAGGTGGGTCGCAAAAGCCAGCAGGCAAACAAACAAACAAACAAGCATAACATCATGACAACATAGAAGTTAGTTTCTTGAGTGGCTCGCATTTCGTAGACAGTGATATCTAAAAAAAGAACGACAAACTACTAATATATTAAAAGCAATTTTATGCAAACTTCAATTGTTCCCAGCCGCAAATATCAGGTCTTATCCGGCTTGGTGTTACAAGATGCTGTTGTAAATGTGCACACCGGTCGCTGTTCTCGCCATATAACCCTTGGTCAGGTGAATGCTTAAACTAGTTTAAATTAGTACGTTATTATCGCCGTCATAAAGTTATAGCATAATTCGTGGATCGCTACTTGGAGTGGCAGCAGGTACTACAGCGCTACAGTGTAAAAGTACTGCGCAATACTTGGTTCACCCCTAAGTGGAGACTTCGGTGGAAGCTACGAGTCGGTTGGACCAGCCATATGTCGGTCCTTCCCCACGCGTTCACGATCTCGCCCACACCCTCGTGTGCAGAGCTGGGTTAGGTGATAAAAAGAAGACGGCTGATTAGTCCGGAGGAGCCTAGCTCGCACCAAGCTCTCGGCTTAGGACTGTGCTCCGACCTCGCTTCACAAGTTTCCCAAACAAGCCGATAAAGGTCAAATAGTTTGTTGACAACCGTAGCGTACGCATTTTGATAGGCGCCCTTCTGAGTCCACTTTTTACAACTCGTACGCAACCCCCCCCCCCCCCCCCCCCACTCTCCACAAAAAAAAAGGGGGGGGGGGCGTGCATTTTTTTTGTTTGTGGAGTATTGTTTGTGTCGATCCATACAGGTCTTCGGCGAATGACGCCGAGAGCAAATATTTCCAAATGCTTTTGCTCACGTACGAACGAAATCACTCAGCAAAGGACGGGTTGTTCATGCACTGCCGGTTAAATTGCCGGTCGGCCGCTGTGTATGGTAATGGCTTTGTGTAGCTGCTAGGTCCGGCTTTCTTGTTTTTTTGTTTGTTTTTTTTTCAGCCGCGTTTTCCGTCACTCATGCTGTCGCCGGTCAAAGCCCGCAAGCAAGAGTCTTCGTTGTACACACAGTGCTCGTTGCTGCCGCCGAGCGCGCACCGAGGAAAGTCCGCGCTCCAAAAGCAGTCGCGGATTGCACGAGGACAGTGCAATCGGCAACAACACGCTTTAGCGCGAGGCCAGGTCCCAGACTCGGAAACAAAGACGCTAATGGCAAACTCGTGTGGTCAATCCCCGGCGAGCTCTTGCCGACGACACAGGCAACCAAAAACGCGCCGGCGCCCGGCTCACGAATACGGGGTCCGTTAAAAACGTGGTGAAAATCAAAACAGCGCTCAAAAGCAAAGATTAAAGGAAGGCAATTGTCGGGGGAGGTGTATGTGTGTACGCGTGTGCGTGTGCGCTCGCGCGAGCGTACGTGTACGTGTGTTTTGTGTGTCTCTGTGTTCCCTTTCTTAGTGTTCGTTTTTGAGCGATGCTTACTTTTCAACACGTTCGACTGGAAGACGTCGTGTTATGTGCCGCCGAACAAGCTTCTTTATGCGTGTTGCATGTCACAGAGTGAGAGTGCGAAGCAGTTAACGTGAAAAAGTGATTGTCGATTTGACCTATTTCTCTTGCAAACCTGAGAGGCAGTCTTAAAAATACTATCATTTTGGAATATTCTCATTGTAAGCATTAACCAAAAAGGGAAGATTTAGTGCTCGTGAATATACAGCGGCAATATGGAAGGTATAGATGTCATGTTCTAGCTGTGTCGGACTGTGTACAAGGTGGTGTAAGACCTTCCTTGGCTCGCCTGGATTTCAGGATTCCTTTAAACTGTAGACCGAGTACCGAATTGAGAAAATGGGGAATTTTAGCAAACCGTTAACCGTGTTCCACGTACCGCACTGCCAGAGCCTTTGAAGCATGCTTTTAAGAGCGCACCCGTGTGATACCGTGACTGCAGGTTGGTCCGCGGAACAGGGTAACGGTTTGCAGAAAGTTCCTATTAGGGGGTTTTAGACGTTTAGCGAGCCGTTTTTAAAGCACACGGTTCCGAAATCGTGACGGTGCAGCGATGGTCCGTCCTGTCAAACCGTACGTGAATATAATGTATTTTAGCGAATTGTAAAACTGACACAACCGTGTAAACGCTGATGATGATTGCGTTTGACCGGTAGCGCCATCTTCTAGTAAACATGTAAAACATTCTGCAGCGTGCAACACCGAGGCGGCTCGTGTTTACTGCCGGCGTAATTTTTGCAGGTCGGAATTTCAAAACCTGCAAAGCTATAGATAGAAAAAAAAAAAAAGTGCTCAAACGGCCGGAAAGGTAGGTGGTGTGGTCTTCGTTATCTTTAACTTGAATGATTGTGAATGATTGTTCACGTTGTGTTATGTCGGACCAAAACATTTCGTCTGCTAACGGGCGCCACGGCAGCTATAGTCATCCGTTTATACTGTGGGGATTGTGATCCCTCAACATTCTGTCGCGTCAGCGTTTTGGCGCGCCGTGGCGGCCGCGCTGGCGTAGCGAGAGGTGGCGCTGCTTACCACTGTGAGTGGCTTCCTCCTCTCCCCCTTTGGGGCGATTTCCGTAACGAACCCCCGCACAAAGGAGATCGACGTGTCGCTCCTTGTGTAGCGATACCGCATACTAGGCGTATGCGTGCCGGAAAGAAGTCAGACGACGAACTGCGCTCTAGGTCATGAAGGAACCAAAAAGCCCCCGTTTATTGATCGGGCCGATAATATACACTGCCGGGAACATCACGTGCTCATGACGCTGGGCGGACGGGCCAGCGATAACAACATAGGCAAGCGATAACAGACAACAACACATCTCTCTTTTTTCGAGAACAAAAAAAACGTCGCACATACAAGACAAAGAATATACGTTGCCCCCAAACTTCAAAACAAAACATAGTCATCAATACCCAGCCTTATGGGTTTCTTAACTACTCTTCCAAACCGCGTTACAGTGAGAGTAGGGTCACCATTGGCTACCGCGCAAGATGGAGGCGCCGAATCTGTAGCCGCAAAGTCGTCCGTGCTATGTGCAAATTGTGCAGTACTTGGTTGCTGTAGCCGCAGAGTCGTAGTCGCAGAGTCGTCTGTGCTATGACCCAACTGTGCAGTACTCGACTGCTGTTTATTGTCCGGAAACTCGTATGCCTCCGCGTTTTCACATTCTTTTGGGAGACGGTTAAGCATTCTCCTGTTTCGGCGGAGATCAACGCCGTCGTCTGTCCGCACCACATACGACCGCGGTTTCGGCGCCGGTGCAAGGACTGTGGCCTTGGACTGCATGTCTGTCACCCAGACCGGGTCACCTGCTTCCAGCTCGGGAAGCCGTCTGGCCCGATGGCGTCTGTTGTAGTAGCGGCACTGCTGCCTCCTAACCTTCTGGTCCCTGGCCACTACTTCTTTCGGGCGGCTTTCTCCCGGCTTTCGATGACGTGGCAGCATTGGGACCCTGGTCCTCAGTCGCCTACCCATAAGTATTTCAGCAGGGCTGACCCCAAGAATGCCGGGCGTTGCCCTGTAAGCCAACAGTGCCAGGTAAGGGTCTTTGGACTTTAAAACGAGATGCTTAACCGTCTGGACCATTCGCTCATGCCTATGCATGAGCGAACAACATAGGCATTGCCTATGTTGTTATCGCTGGCCCGTCCGCCCAGCGTCATGAGCACGTGATGTTCCCGGCAGTGTATATTATCGGCCCGATCAATAAACGGGGGCTTTTTGGTTCCTTCATGACCTAGAGCGCAGTTCGTCGTCTGACTTCTTTCCGGCACGCATACGCCTAGTATGCGGTATCGCTACATGGTGTCAGAAGTGGGATTACGAGCCTTGTTCCTTTCAACAAGAGACCATCAACCACGCTAAGGCATGCTCTATCTTGCCAGTATGGCGTGAGAAATGAAGGAACATTTGGTTTCTTCGGCCAACCGGTTTTACACAGTCTGATGAGGTGTTTACAAATGTCATCCTTAATTTGACATTCTCTCACTCTAGACAAAAAATTGTCCCCCGTTTCCAAGCCAAGCAAACACGCCTTAGAATATGCTGTGACCTCCGACACACACAACCCCTTTTCGGAGTCGCCGCATTTGACAGGGGACCGCGAAAGAGTGTCGGCCGTGACTAGCGATTTTCCGGGAACATACTGGACACTGTAAAGATAGCGCATTAGTCGTAGCCGGAACCGTTGAATTCGGGGTGGCATATCATCAATGGCCATCTGACCCAGCAACGACACTAAAGGCTTGTGATCCGTTTCGAAAATAACATTTAGGCCACGTATGTATTCATCGAACCTTTCAGCCGCCCACGTCAGTGCTAGCGCTTCTTTTTCTATCTGGGAGTATCTTCGCTCCGTGTTCGTGAGGGAACGAGATGCGAAAGCTATCGGCCTGCGGTGACCGTCTTTCTGCGCTTGATAAAGGACAGCTCCCAGCCCGAAAGAGGATGCGTCAGCTGAAAGTACAGTTGGAAGCGTTGCATCGTACATGGCCATACATTGCGCAGAACAAATGAGCCCTTTCAGCTCGTTCAGTGCTTTTTCTTGGTCACACCCCCAGACCCATTCGCTATCTTTGTGCAAAAGAGCACGCATCGGGGCCGTAATTTGCGCAAGATGAGGCAAGAAGCGACCTAGATGATTGGCCATGCCGAGCAAGCTTCTTAGTTCGGTCACATTTTTCGGTGCGTTTAGATTCTTAATCGCGCTGACTTTCGCTGGATCAGGCTCAATGCCATTCTCATTCAGAATATGGCCCAAGAATCGCACTTTATTAACCCCAAACAGACACTTTTCTTTGTTCAGAGTCACGTTTGCGCTAGCTAGGCGCGACATAACCTCAGCTAGACGCTCATCATGCTGGGTTTTCGTTTCG